GGGCACTGTAGCCAGCCCGTGCCCCTTTAAGGGGTCCGGGGCCAGGAGGGGGGCAATAGAGTTTCCCTGGTGTTGGCCAGAGTGGCCACCAGGGAAACCTGGGGAGGGCTAGCCTCCCACTAGTTCGAATTAAGGGGCTACACACCCCTTAATTCGAACTAGCTAGTTCGAACTAGGCTTAATCCTCGTAAAATGAGGTTTTCCTAGTTCGAACTAAGCGCTCCGCTAGTTCGAATTAAGTTCGAACTAGCGGAGCGCTAGTGTAGCGCCTATGAAAGTTAGTTCGAACTAACATCCGTTAGTTCGAACTAACTCTGTAGTGTAGACTTACCCTATGTTAGTGAGAGTTGAGATTTATTTTTATTGAAATAGTTGTACCAGTGAAATCTATAATGTGAATGCAATTATGCCAGTATGAAGGTGCTCATATCAGTTTAGCCTGAATTAACCAAATCTCCAAAGCTATGTCCACATAGAGAGGAATGTAGTGCTTGAAGTATAACTGGATAGTTACTGGTATAATTAAAGCTGCACACTTTTTTGTATAGACAAACTGTAATGATATATACTCTAGGTGGATGGAACTAATTGTGTCAATGTAAAACCTTTTTGTGCTTTGCCTCCACTAGGATTTTACTTTGAGATTGCTATCCTAAGGTTAGCTATCTCAATTTGAAAACACAATTATTTTTTGCAGTGAACACAAGGTGTAAGGAGTACCTTATTACACAAGTATTCCTATTGATTTTAGTGATACTATCATCAGGTGAGGTACTATTCAGGGTGAGTAAGGATATCACAGTCTAAGCCTCGGTGGTCAAGTCTAGCATATACTTGCTGGGGGTAGGGAGCAAGGGGCATAAACCCTTGGGTTTGTAGATTAGAAAAAGATGTGACATTAGATTGGGGTTAGTGAATAAATAACATTTTTAACAGCACTGCAGCACACAAGTAAATCAACTACTGAATGATAAACTGACTCATCTCAATCAAATTGCCCATGTATTGGAAGGCTCTACCAGTTTTGCTGGAGTTTTCAAATGCATCTCATCCTACAAAAACTCTGGAATAACATTACCTCTGCACAGACACAATGGCTGTGTCTAGACTGGCAAGTTTTTCCAGAAAATCAGCAGCTTTTCCGGAAAAACTTGCCATCTGTCTACACTGGCCGCTTGAATTTCAGGAAAAGCACTGACGATCTCATGTAAAATCATCAGTGCTTTTCCGGAAATACTATGCTGCTCCCATTCGGGCAAAAGTCTTTTTCCGAAAGACTTTTGCACAAAAGGGCCAGTGTAGACAGCACAGTACTGTTTTCCGCAAAAAATCCCCAATCGCAAAAATGGCGATCGGGGCTTTTTTGCGGAAAAGCGTGTCTAGATTGGCCACGGGCGCTTTTCCGCAAAAAGTGCTTGTGCGGAAAAGCATCCTGCCAATCTAGATGCGCTTTTCTGAAAATGCTTTTAACGGAAAACTTTTCTGTTAAAAGCATTTTTTGGAAAATCATGCCAGTGTAGACGTAGCCAATAAGTCTGATTTACCACTAAGCTGGTGAACATTTTCAATCTAAAAGAATTTATTAAAAAATGCTCTTTTCCAATCTTGATATTTAATTTAATTTTTCTCTCTCTATATGTATAAAAAAGTTTTTCCTGTTGGGCAACAGAATGACATCATCAGCCTACTTGAAAGTGGAGTCTCAGCATCTCGCTTATTTGTGCTTCTACCAGAAGCAACTGTGAAACTAAGATCTGTCCGTAGAGCCATCTGTAACATGTACAGTAAACTTCCAATAATCCGGTACCTTTAGGACCCGGCGGTGCCGGATTATCAGATATGCCGGAGTACCGGAAGGGGGGCTATGAGGGGTCTGGGGTAAGGGGTCAGCAGGGAACTGCGCAGCGTGGGGCGCTGCGGGCCCACCCCAGCAGCACCCCAGCTGCTCTGCCCCCGGCTTCCCCAAGTCAGCCGCTGCTGAAACTGCTCAGTTTCAGCAGCAGTGGACTTGGAGAAGCCGGGGGCAGAGCAGCTCCAATTGTCTGGCTGACCGCAGCACTTCCGGGTTCCAGTTGGAGCCAGACTATCAGGAGTGCCGGACCACTGGATGCCGGACAATTGGAGGTTTACTGTAGTACATGAGCAATAGATTAATTAGCAGTTTTTTTCTATACAGCTTTGTGTGTTCACTTTTCTATATAATCAGTGCAAGATTAACAGGCTTGAGGAATTGGAAAGTGCAGCGAGCACGGGGTGCAGCCCCCTAGTAATTTTTAATTTATTTTTATTAATACTGAATTGATACTGCCATCAAAATGCTTCCTTTATAGTCTTTCACTTTCAAAATAGGTACATTACACCATTTCATTACCATTTTTTTAATAAAAATTCTACAGTGTGACTACAGTAAATTGAAAAAAGGGAAGTCTGTTTTCCCTCCTCCACTTTCCCATCTCCCCCTCCACTTTCCCATTTTTTTGTTTTTGCTTTTGCTTTTGCTTTTGCTTTTGCTACTGTATAATTTTTAATGAGTCATCTTAGTCATTAAGCCCTGGTCTACACTAAGGTGTATTTTGAAATAACCCTCCTTAGGTCGAATTTATAAGCAAAGCGTACACACGACCAAGCCCGTTATTTCAAAAAAAATGGGCTGCTTATTTCGAAATCTGTACTCCTGCTTTCCTTGGGGAATAATGCTAATTACAAAATAGTTATTTCAAAATTGCAGTAGTGTGGATGCTTCGGTGCTGCTATTTTAAAATAACTATTCCCCAGCGTAATTCAAACTAATTATTCTCCAGTGCTTCCTGGAGCTCTAAGTTGAGGTTGTGTGTCCACATTAACAGAGTTTGCCTCGGACTAATTTTGAGGCTTCTCTGTAGTGGAAACGTGCTATTTTGATTTTGTAAAATCAGGGGTTATTAAGCTGAATTTAGTTATTCTGAAATAATTTCCTAGTATAGACATGCCCTTAGTTTAAACAAAACCAAAATTAAAAATCATTTTTGATAATGAAAAATTTTGAAAAACAAAGTCAGACTATCTGAATATTATTTGCTTACTTTATACTGGCTGTGCACAGATCTAAATGACTATATGAAGTGAAAATTAGTTCCCTTACGTATATGTAATGTCCACAATACTATAACCATTGACTATTATTTAACTACTACTACTATTACACAGATGTTATTAACTAAAATAAAATAATAATGCCTTTGTAAAAATTTTGAACCACAGTAATGCTTCATATAAATGAATTTTATGCATCAAACTTTGGACCAACTCCTGCTGGCCTATTTCCATGACTAAGAGTAACAAGATTTGGCTCAAAGAAGAAAAATAACTTTAAAACGCTGTTCATTAGATTTTTAGTAATGAAATACTCTAAAATGATTTCATATTATTTACATGGAACAAGTGTTCATCATTATAACAAACATTTCCTTTATGCTAAAATTTACAGTACAATTTATAATACGGTAGTTACCCTTTTAACTATTTGCTTTAGAATGTATTTTTCCAGAAACTTTATATTTATAACATGAACAATACAAACCTGATGCTTTGTGGGGAACTGTTCCAAGCAGGGGGATATTTATAGTTGGATCAGCCATTATGCCTTTATCCAGTGAGCGCAAGGACAGGAACTCATAAAAGTATTCAGCCTGCAACAAAATGCATTGAAAATAAATGTTTATTAATTGCAGTCACTGGAGCAACTATTCAACATATAATCCAAAGAGGAACAAATGTACATTTTCAGTGTTCAGACCACTTGTTATATTTTTTCTTCTTTGTTTAAACATAATTTTCAGAACATTTATCCTACTGAATACTGAAATATGATAGACCTTTAAGCCTGAGGCAGCCTAATTGCAAGCTGCATGCTTCCTTGCGTTGTACCTTGAAAGAAAGTGCATAAATACTGTGGTGGGGCTAGTCTCCACTATGCAGGCTCTGCCAATATAACTGTAGTGGCACATAGCTATACTGGCAGAGCCTCCTAGTCCATACGCAGCATATGCTGACAGTTTTTCTCTCAGTGCAGTAATACCACTTCCGTGAGTAATGTTAGCTATACCAACAGAAGCAGTCTCATATTGACAGGGCTGCCTCTACACCGGTGCTTTTGCTGGTGTAGTTGTAGTTGTTGGGTGTGGTTTTTTTCCATACACATTTCATAGCTATGCTAACAAAACTCTAGTGCAGACCTGGCCATGATAATCACATTTGACATGACTAGCACCTTTCATTCCAAGAGATCATAAAGTGCTGTGCAAATGATGTCCTTAGCCCTGATAGAGCCACTTTGTTGCACTATGGCAGCACAAAGAGGCCATAAAGCTGCCTTAATTGAGCAACTGGGGATTCACACCCAGAGTTGGATTTACACCACATTCTACTAGCCTTCATAGAGGATATGTTGTGGGTGTGACCAGCTGGCATGGATGGAGCACTGCTCTGCACTACTGTCCATTCACTTCCTTTGTGCATATACATTATGGTAGAGTCTTTAATTATATCATTCCATCTCCACAGGATGCTAACCTCATTCAGTGAATGTTTGTTTATATCCTCCTTGTTACATGTGTGGTCCCAGGCTTTACTTAATGTACACCATTCAAAACCTGCACTGATCATTTCCTCTTGTGGTGCCCTCACACCAGTATCTGTGTGCTTCAGATTTAAATGAATTTATCTTCCCAAACCACCCCAGTGGGAGGTGGTGGTATTATTACTATTTGCAGCTTGGGAATGGAGGCATGGACAGATTAAAGAAAAGGTATCAAAAGTGCCCATTAATTTTGGTGCTTAATTTGTGAGGCCCAAGACCTGATTTTTCTACGTAGGTAACAGTGACTTCAGTGGCACTTGTGAATACTCAGCCATTCTGCAACTCTTGCCTTAGGTGTATCACATTGCGCACCCAGAAAGTCCCAGCACCACATATGAATTTTGGGCTAATGGCAGTTAGAGGGCTAACCTGTTTAGGAGCTTTTGACTATCCTGCTACGCCTCTATTGTCTAGGCACCATGGGCAGTATGTACAAAGGTACTTCAGACCCTAAGTCCCGTTTTTAGGCATCACTGTGATTCATAAAAATTCTCAGCTGCCACGGACACCTGTAGCTCCCTAAACTCAGCACCCAAATTTTGTAGTACAAGCTCCCTAGGTGCCTAAATTTCTGCATCTGGGCACACATGCTGTCACCTCCCTGAGATTTTAGCACCATATTTTACTGTAGAAACTCAGAAAGCTTTACTCATGCATTGATTTGATCCATCTATACTAGTAACTTAACACTATGCCATATCCATAGCCCTGACCTCTGAGGAAGCTATTTGTGAAATACTTTTTCAGGGTTAACATCTGAATATTTGATTTACAGTAAAACTCCGATGGTTCGGCATCTGATGGTCCGGTACTCCTGATGGTCCAGCACCATCAGGAACCCGGAAGTGCTCCGGGCAGCCGGACCATTGGAGCTGCTCTGCCCCC